ATTCTATAGGTATTTGAAGAACTTGTAGCATTCCGCCACAAAATGTCTGAAATTACTTAGAAAACAGAGATTTTACTAAACTGATTATCATGTTGCATGCGTAAAACTATTAGAAAAAAAACATTTGTAAATACGTCGCGGCATTTCATAAGTGTGCATAAAACTATCCAAACTATTTACATTAATTAATCTATAGTCAATGGGCTAAGCTATAGTTTAAAAAAATGGAGCCCTCTATTTAAATCGTGGCAAACACTATATCATATGTCCTTTACTTTGGCAGTAATAATTCATTAGGAGACTAGTTTCGAATTCTCTATCAAGTGGAGAAAAGTAATAAATGAAAAATATATTACTTTTAGAAATGCAAGGATTTCATTAGTTTCTTTTTTTTGAAAGAAAAGTTTTTGTTAGGTCTTTCCCTCTTAATTTGTTTTATATATCAACTGTAGCACTTCGATCCGAAAAATAACAATAATAATTTCATCTTACTGTCACGAGATTTTTATCTTATTTTTAATTTTGCGTATTTTTTTTTCATTTCGTCTTTCCTGATTTTCCAATGTTGAAGTACGTGTAAACGATTGTTTGTATGGTTTTTGCACATAGCTACACAAAGGGCTATTATCTACACAAAGCTGTCCTTAATTTCGAACTAATAGCTAGTTAACAATACCCATCGAAAACACTTGGTCTACGCTTGTTTGATCAATTAGTGGAATTTGGCCGTCATTCTTAAAGCGCACTCACGATCTTAAAGTGCAGACCAAGTGTTTATGGCAATGGGACGCGAACCGTGAACCCTTGGATTCCCAGTTCGAATACACTCAACATGACGCCCCGCCCAAGTATAGAAGAGTCTTATGTAAAGTGTTCTAGTAAGCGAATCCATAAACTTATAACATATTCATGTCTACTTCTTGTAGAATGTTGACGAAATTACTTAACACAATGGATTCATTAGTTTATTGACCAGAGAAGCAGATTTTTTGTGACCAACTAAGTGTCCCATTGTCCTCAATATTTCTGGCTATGTATAACGGGTGGTTAGAACTGCAGAGAACTCATAAAAAGTTTAAAGTGAACTTTTTTCTGTCTTACTGTTCGTACGTCTTTCCAGATGATATGCATTTCATGGTTTTCTTGAACCGCCAAGTTGACAAAGCGTTGTGGCTGAATATGGCCTGAGCTGGTGTTTCGAAGGATTTTACAAGCAGGTTCACTACCATCCCACCATGATATTGGTTTCGTATCAAATACATTTGGAAGAAAGTACGGTTCGGTGACTGCCAATTTTTTGATAAACCGCTATACAATAATCAAATAGAGGTTTAAGCTCTCGCTAACTCCAAAGCAATAACGCGGTGAGTTTCCTTAAGGCAGGTTCTTTTAACGTGCGAGTTCTGAAAGCTGCCACGACTAAATACAAGATATCCATTGTTAAAAATCGTTTTCTACCTTTCAAAGCATATATCAAATCATCTGTATGGAAATAAAGAGTTATAAATATATGGCTTTTTTGTTTACTATTTCTGGTGACAACTTGAGAAATAATGACATTACTTAACTATAGCTAAATGTTATTTAGTTTTAAACATACAATTTTACGTGTACGTTATTAATAACTACCTAGCTTTAAACAAGATGTTTGATTTTAATTGGCTGTCCTCAAATGTCCTTTGGTTGCACCAAATATTCCATTTGGCTATTACAAAATGTTGTCTAAATTTTAAAATAATTGTTTTTTTTTCTTAGTTATTACAATATTTAACGTATAGTTTCGACAACTGGTTTTATTTGATAACATATAAGACAACAAACAATTTTATTTGGTTATACCCAAGTGTTACTTGGCTATTAATGAGGCCACTTAGCGTTCAATTTACGATCTTATCTGGCCGTTACAGTTATCTAGTTTTTAACACATGATTTTACTCGGTTGTATTAGTTTCAAAATGTGGTGTTTATTTGGTAATTCTTTGATTTCATTTGGTTATTATGAGATGCTATATAGCTTTTAGCATACACTTTACGTGGTTGTCATCAAATTTTAGAAGACATTCAGCTTTATATGGTATCACAAGGACTACCTAGCCTTCAACATACACGCGTATTTTGACTATAATCATAGATACCAGGCTCTGAACGTGTAATTCTTCTTTAACCAACCCTAAGCGTTACAAGCTTCAATATATAATTTGTGTTATGTCACCATTCTTATCTAGATTACACCAGTTTGCTACTCTAAACATTATTACTTAACTTTTGCCTATAAAGAAAGTTGTTTATGTGCATCTTTTGTTATCCATACACATTAAGTGCGAGAAGGACGCTGAAGGAAAGCATAAGGCTTGTAACTCTTCATTAAGGTCGATAGCCTTTCCTATATCTTAAGCCGAAACTAAGTATATTCATAATATAAATTTTGTTTGTTCGCAGTTTATTTTTGAGAAAAGATGCTTTAATTAAGTCACACGGTGAGTTGGTTGTAAGCCTTTTCTAATAATTCTTGGATTAGTGCCCTAGTGGAGTTTTTCCCTCCAAATTACCAACATCTGTGATCAGTGCTGTAGCTCGAACAACGCAACTAAAAGGTAAGGACACACCATTGGAAAATGAAATGTTGGATAATTAGTCATTTTATTATCTACCATCGACAATGGCAGCTTTACTGGAAACAATAATATAGACCGGAAGATTGCTCTTGATAACTGTCGATAAAATAAAATTAGAAGCTGTCAAGTACCTTGAGCGTAGGTTTTTAATTGGAAATTACGTCTAAACAGGAGGTAATCATTTTCTCTTTTGATTGAGTGTAATATTCATAAGGTTGCTTGGAACGCTCGTTACCTACGCACTTATAAGTACAGCAGGTGCTCGATTAAACAAACGGCAATAGTGAAGTGTTATTTTCTAGTAAGCAGTGACGTTTATTAAACGCTTGCTTAATGAAGTGATTTTAGAATCTCGGAACACACAATACTTTCACGTGGACTAGGTACACGCATTCGATTGGCAAAGTTGTTGAAGGACGAAAGCTGGGGGTAAAACGTATTACTAACGAGTTTGTGAAATGGTGTGTAGAATTATCGTACATCCAAACATTAAATATGACATGAAATAAATGAATTAAAACCTAAAATGCAATATGAAAAAAAAATATTAAAAATACTTAAGTTACTAAAGATTATATTTTTTCAGTACGTTTCAGGTATGATTTTTGATACTTTACGCTATTGGCTATTCAAATATGATTTTTGATACTTTACGCTTTTGGCTATCGACTACTAAACATTGAGTACGGGAGATTCTTTTGTTCGTGAATTTAATAATTTTGCGAAAAAATCCCAGTCTAGACATCAGTGGTTTAGTTTTTATTACCATCTTTTGTCGCTAGTCAAGCTGGTTCTTTCTTGAGTGAGCATGAAACCATGACTTTGTGTGTTTTAAAATAAATCGATCCGGTATCTTCTGGAGGAAAAACCAATCACATAACGTATTTGATTAGTAGCACATTCACTTAGAAAAGCGTTGGTATACTCTCTTGACCATTGTCCAGTATCAAAGATCTCTATGCTCGACAGGACGTAGCTAGTGATTGGCGGAAGAACAAATGGTAAAAAAAAGTTGACCAAACGGAAGGAGACTGAAAAAGTGATTGAAAGACAAACTAACTGTTAAACTAAGAAGCGTTAAACACAGCGGAGTATTAGAGCTGATAATATCAAGATAAAAACAGTTTGTCAAGGGGCTGGACGCAGCTGAAACGGCCAGAAAAAACAAATGACTGACATCCGTGCAGTGACTTTAATTGTGATTGTTTCGTTAAGAAAAACTAGGTCATTGTTGAATTGGTAAACAATAACACCACGAATTTGATTGATTAAGATCAAGTTGCAATTATTGCAAAACTCTATATCGAGCCACTTTATTATTTATTTATAGTAATAAATGTTTAATAATATCACTACAATTCAATGATATGACAGAATCATTTGTGCCCCTATGAGATAAGTTAGAATTCTCAAGTATACAACAAAATCTGTTGAAATATTTAACAACTTACAGTTTTAATTAATTTCATTCCTTACCTTCTTTGTCTTCGACAACTAATATACTTTTAATTTGAATTATTTTACATTTATCGACATTTCTTTCAGCTTTTAGACTGTTTTACTATTCCCGTGGTGCTGGCTCTCTCATGGATATTATTGAAGGTCCGTTACAAAATAGTTCATATTTTAGGAGTAGGTGTCGCTCTGCTCGGAGTTGGGTGTCTCGTCTGGGCCGATTTGGAAGAAGACAAAACTTCCCAGATCGGTAGGTTTTGGCTTAATCTTAAATAATTAAATTACGAAATGGATATTGACAAAATTCATCCTACACGTAAAAGGTTTTTGAAAATAAAATCTATAAATAAAATGTTGTAAAAATACATATTACTAAATTATACGATTTTAAATTATCTTTATACTTGATTATTTACCACTGTTGATTATACCAGGGTTTGCAATAATACTGGCGCTACCAGGTTGCCAGTACCGTTACTCGAGCATCTCTAATAATGTGGCTTGAGCAGTTCGAAATCCAACAATTCTTCCCAGTGTGTTCTCGTGAGAAAATTTGTTTCCACATCAAACCAAGTTGTCAATTATGTGTAAGCCTACGTGGTATCATAACTATGGCAAGAAATAATTTGAAATCTAGGCTTTCTATTGGTTATAAATTTAATGAGAGTCGGCCTCAGAAAAATCTATTAGCAAATTAGAGCATGTCAGAGGTAGGTATGGAAATTGGTTTCTGAATTTCATGATTGCTCTTTAGCCCCATAAAATTGAAGAATGTAAAAATATAGCTTCAAAATATCAATGACGAAATTAAAGAGGGTATTTTACGTTACATTTTGTAGTTCTCTAGGGGATGGACCAAAAAAATCCAGAAGGGAGATGGTTCAAGAGCAAATATTCATATTCTCACACTAGGGGAATTTTAAGTTGTTTTTAAATATTTCCTTATACAATTAAAACTTAAAACTTATACAGTATTACAATTTGATTTATTATCTATGGTGTGGGTCAAGTTTGTTCGTATACCATGATAATTAAGTAGTTTAATTAAATTTTGAATGTAACTCACTAAAACGTCGTGACATGCTCAATTTGACCTACCCGCATGCTAAGGGTTAATCACACACGCACCTACCTAACGTGTAATCAGTCACGTAAGTACATTCACGTTCTCTTCCAGAGCGTTGGAGTCACCAGTTTACCATTTTTCAAGCAATTGCCGATTTTCGCTTATCGACTGAAGTTATGATTTCAAAACAACCACATCAAACATTTATAATTATATGAAAAACGAAGCTGAAATACCAGGGGAGACGTTTGGTCAAAACTCCGAAGATGAGACATGTGATAATAGATGTTATTCTCAAAAATATGATATACTATAAACCAGTTCCAGTACTGACGGGCCGGTACCGGTAGGGCCGAGTACTGGAACTAGTACCGACTGCAACCCCTGAATTATACTAGTTACATTGAACGGAAATAATTTTATTGAGACTTTTTTGTTTGCTTCACGTAAATAAAATACTGCATGTGTTTGGAGTATATAAAAAAAGAAATAATTCGAAGAAATAGAATGCTTGTATCATTAACTATGAGTTCTGTTGAATATCACACGATAGCTTGTAAAATTGTTGTTTTGAAGATGTAAAAGTAACGCAAGTATGTTTTGTAGAACATAACCCAATCAACATTAACTTGCCAAAAAATTGGAATACAAAACGTCTTCTAGAACTCATAGAATTGATAATGATATATTACAAACTGATACTAAAGAAGACTATAAAGATACACCAAAGTCAAATAAAAATAACATAATATACTTGGTTTTAGGGGCAGAACCAACATACAACTGCAAGAGACTTTACTGACATTAAAAACAAAATAACTCTTAAACTAGACGTACTTTTATATTTGAATAAATGTTTCAATTACATTTAATCTATCTTTTTAAAATCAATAATGAATAAATACTACAATATTGTTAGTGTCACAGTAAAATCTAGAACACTAATGTAAACCGCTTTGTATAAAAACAAAAATAACAAAACTTGCGATAAAATGAAAAACGTACTGTTAAAGAAAACACAGTGATCATCTTTAGAGTATACCAAGGACTTCTGGAGTTTGTGATATATTATGGCTTGTTACACTGTCATTTGATTCTGGCTTTGATTCAATAAAAGCGTGAGGAAAATTTTCGAGAAGGACTATCTATGTTTTTAAACCTAAAATGCTCACAGTCTGATCTAAAACATGAAGCTGAAACTTTCAAGATCTATAATTAGTGAACTCCAAATAGTTACATGTATCCGTATACTTACCGTGCTAACCCATTAATAAAAAATCAGGGTTTTGCTAAATCTCTCTTGTGTTATATTTTATTGAATTTATGTTGTTAAGCACAAAGCTTCCCAATGGACTATCTGTGCTGTACCCACCACAGGGATCGAACACAGCATTTTATCGTTTAATCACTCCCAATTATCTGCTGAGTCACCGAGGACTATTTATTATTGTTTAATTTTCATATTTCATCTAAACTATTTGGTAAGTTGATATTTCTCAATACACAAGTTTCTTAAACTTTCAAATAAAAACAATATAAACATATCGCGAAATAAAACTTTTTATGTTTAATAAGTACCTAAGAATACATCATTCTTAAACTGCTTAAAGAATGTTCTATATCTTTATGCTAATAAATCATCGTCTGATTTTTTATTTTTTCCGCATATAGGTACTTTTTGTAAAATTATATTTAAATGTGAGTATTCATTAAGATAATTTAAAAAATAATATTCTTATACATATAGTTTCAATTATGAGACATTGAAACTTTTAATCATGAGAACTTGTTAAGACACTTACCAAATAGTTTAATCGTTCTCGATCAACAGTATCCTACGAGAGTAAGGATCCTACTCTTGCAATGAGTAAGATCCACCGAAGATCCAGCTGGTTGTGAAAGCCTTAACTTGAAGGGCACGGCATGGCCAGGTGGTTAGGGCACACGACTCGCAATCTGTGGGTCGCGGGTTCGAATCCCCGTCACACCAAGCATGTTCGCCCTTAAAACCGTGGGGGCGTTATAATGTGATGGTCAATCCCACTATTCGATGGTTAAGAGTTAACCAAGAATTGTCGATAGGTTATGTTAACTAACTGGCTTCCTTCTATTTTACATATTCGGCTGAAACGTTCCCTTCAATCTACAAACCAAAGTTTTTCTAATATAAACAAAGATAAACGTTTGTTTGTATATTGAATTTCGCGCATAGCTACTTGAGGATTCTTTGCACTGGCCATCTCTAATTTTAAAGTCTATAATTTCAAAATGAGAGATGGCTAGCACAAATAGCCCTCAAGCATCTGCGTGCAAAATTCAATAGACAAACAAACATTTGTCTGTATTGATATTAGAAAGACTTTGGTTTGTAGATTAAAGGGAAGGTTTCAGTCCAATATGTAAAGCCCGATGAATGGTCAGACATAAAGAAATTTAATTTAATTTAAAATGATAAGAACTATTGATCTGTTTTAAATAATAGATTAATAGACTTATGCTTTTATATGTTTTCTTTCACACACTCATGAAACTTTAGGCAAGTATAAATACTATCACGATTTCTTTTTCACAAGAAATACGAAGTTTGTTTGTTTTGAATTTCGCGCAAAGACTACACGAGGGCTATCTGTGCTAGCCGTTCCTAACTTAGCAGTTTAAGACTAGAGAGAAGGCAGCTAGTTATGATCACCTACCGCCAACTCTTGGGCTACTCTTTTATCAACGAATAGTAGGATTGACCGTCAAATTATAATGCCCCCACGGCTGAAAGGGCGAGCAAGTTTGGTGGGATGGGGATTCGAACCCGCGACCCGCAGATTGCGAGTCGAGTGCTCTAACCACCTGGCTATGCCGGGCCTGAAATACAACCTACAATATCAAAGACAGTGGTATAACTTTAATGTGGCAACTAAAACCACGTCACGATTGTACAAAATATTCCTTTGTCCAAATAAGTCAGAAGAAAATCTAATAGTTGTGGTGAAAGTCTCTCTTACACCCTAAACTTCAGTTTTTAAAACTTAAGCCGACTCAAAATTTAATTCAAACAATCACTATTATTTTAACTACATTTTTTTTCTGATTGAGTCTTTAAGTATTCTGTGTTTTCTATTCAACACTGAACTAAGTGTCGAACAGAATAATATGTAAGGGGAGAAATGTGTTTCATGTTTGAAGAAGACTTTAAATATAGTGTCCTTATTCATTTCAACCTTAAATTTGGATTTGTACAGTTTTATTTAAAATGCTTTCTTATAAATGTCCACTTATTGTCTTTCGTTTCTTATTTTCAGCTAGCAATAGACTTTTAGGAGACATGTTATGTCTCACTGGTGCTGCCCTCTATGGGGTGTCTAATATTGCTGAGGAATTTGTTGTCAAAACTTATAACCGAGTAGAATTCCTAGGGATGCTAGGACTCTTTGGAAGCGTTGTAAATGGAATCCAGTTGTAAGTAATGTATTATGAATGTCTTAGTTAAGGACATTTACCAAATATCTATGTTAGTAAATAAGTATCCAATTTCTTATGCAGATATTCCGATCGTGTACTATAAGTTTTATTTTTACAATCTTTGAAGAAATAAAATGCACTCCAACACCTTTAGAAGAAGAAAAACATACAATTAAATTGCCAGCAACGATCTTACCTACTTTGCATTTCATACTAAACTTGAAACAGCAATAAACCTTTGAGCCTTTGAAATATCGGTGAAAATCCAGATTGAAAGCATAAGATTTAACAGGGAGATCGATAAGGTTATCGCCTTGTATTTGTTATGTTTGCAAAAGAAGCAATTCTCTATAGTTGAACGGAGCGTGAAACGTTTTAGTATGATTGATATGGAAACATATTTCAAGATGGAAGCCTTATATAAATTATATTAGTATTTCTGCCTGTGTTGAAAAATACGGGCTCATGCAAGCACGACTTCTTTCCAAAGCATTTGAGAAATTGAAAACTTCGGTGAAGCGAGGATATTCATAATCCTTTTGAGGATGTTTTCATAAAATTCATTTCCACCAAATATGTGAATATAGTGATTTGAGGTCAAAAGATATATTGGAATCCCTTGTATGGGACCTAGTTTATAGTAACAAACAAGAGGGAATTCTCAATAGCCACGGCATTTGAAATACTTTTAGGTAGGATTAGAGTAAATTAATCTATGGGACCTTCTTTTATCCTCATTATTAGCTATACTTTTGTGCACCAGCAATAAATACCAAACATTGGCCGCGCATATACCCGATTCGATTTTATTACTCATTAGGATTTCTACCAGTCTACTACCCTCAAACTTAAATACTTTTAGGTAGGATTAGAGTAAATTAATCTATGGGACCTTCTTTTATCCTCATTATTAGCTATACTTTTGTGCACCAGCAATAAATACCAAACGTTGGCCGCGCATATACCCGATTCGATTTTATTACTCATTAGGATTTCTACCAGTCTACTACCCTCAAACTTAAATACTTTTAGGTAGGATTAGAGTAAATTAATCTATGAGACCTCGGGGTGGCCAAATACATCAATTGAAAGTGTATGACCTCCTGAGTCCAAAATTGTAATTAGATCTCAAATCAGTCAAGAGATGATGGAGTTATGAGCTAAAATTTGTATTTGAAAAAAAACAACAACAACTTAGAGCCATTCTATAAGCCGCTATGCCGCGGCTAAAAACAACAACATTAACTTAAAAGCTGATAGAAAAATATATGAAGGCACAACTTTTCCTGAAGACAACTATGAATATTAACTGGATTGGTCATAATCTTGTAGCTGTGAAAGTGAGAAAAATATACTCAATAATGGGGATTTGTCATTTCTTATTCTGTTACAGCAGAAATAACGATGAAGGAACAGTTATTTAAGATATATGGTTTCAGTATGTTTACTGATGTTATTATCGTGAATGACACGTTTAATTTCGTAAACTCGAAGACGCTCATTTGTAACTCATATAGAAAGCCAAAAGAAATTCAGCCATATTGCATTTATTATAAATTTTATTATATCGAGTCGGTGAATAACAATGACTAAAATACTTTTCCTCTACAGAGCTATTTTAGAAAGAACGGAATTAGCTGTGATAAACTGGGAAGAGTGGGAAGAGGGTAAGTACAGAAAATCAACTTCATCAGATATGATATTATTTCTGTTGGACTTACATGTCAATTATGTTAAGATCATGTAAATCTGATGCGAACATTTTTGGTTTCAATTAAATTTACAGTATGAATCTAACATGTAATGTGTCCATGCTCGTGAAATATCAAAAATAGTTATTCAATAAGAAACACTGTTACAAATGGCTTTATAGTATAAGATTATACTTTTATTTAAAAGCTCCCGTGACATAGGATGTGTACAGTTGTTGGTTAAAATGCGTTCCACAATTTTGAACCGTGAGTGTACAATAAGTGTGAGGCCCGGCATGGCCAGGTTGTTAGGGCGCTCGACTCGCAATCTGCGGGTCGCGGGTTCGAATCCCCGTCACACCAAACATGCTTGCCCTTTCAGCCGTGTGGGCGTTATAATGTGACGGTCAATCTCTCTAGTCTTACACTGCTAAATTAGGGACGGCTAGCGCAGATAACCCTCGTGTGGCTTTGCGCGAAATCCATAACAAACCAAACCCATTTTTTTAGTCTGCGTAGAATTTAAACTTTATAAAAATTGTTTTTATTGTATTAATGGATTTTCCATAATTCAGCTACTCAGATTTCGAAAATAGTATTAATTTTTTTTCTATCACGTAAGAATTTTTTACAAATCGGGAAGAAAAGAAAAACTCTTATTTAGATCAAACTGTAATTTCGTTTAACACAATAAATCTTATTTATTATTATGTTTGTTAATAAAATACAAACAAACTGAAAAAGGGGAAGAACGTTGATGTCAAACGAATATGCATCCTCATGCTGTTTTTTTTGTGTGTGAAATCTACGTCTTTTTGTTTCAAAACTATGTATTGTGGTCTTTTTTTTATGTATTGCATCTGGAGCTTCTCGTTTCAATGACCAGCAGTAATCAGTTATTATGCTGATGTTCCACCTTTCCTGATACCTCCTCTCCATTTCCCTGATGTCTTAATGAAAATTTTCCCCTTGCTCTTCGTTGAAGACAAAGAGATTTTCAGGGAAATAGTCATATTACAATCCAACTCTTGAATTTATCGAGCACGTTATTGACAATATTTTCGTAATTTGGGTCCTTGTTGTTTCCTAAAAGATTGTCAGTAACATCTTTAAAGGCAATCCAAGCTTCCTTTTCAACTTTCATCAATGTCCTTTCGAACGGTTTCCTAATCTGAGGCTCAACAAAAATCCCTTCTTGAAGTTTCGCTTCTGAAAGAGCTCGGAATTCCCGCATAAATACTTGAAACAGTCGCCATCTTTGTCTAAGGCCTTTAAAAACTGCTTCAGCAAGCCCAGTTTTATGTGAGAGGAGGTAATAAGACTTTCTTTGTGTCAACCAACTTTCGTGTTCAATGTTTTTCGATCCTGGTATTAAGCTGACTCTGCGTGGCCATTGCTTCTTTATCCAATGCTAATTTCGTGTTCTTCTGTCCCATTCACAAATAACAACATGGAAACTTTGTATAACCGGATTGTTGATCCAAAAACATACAAAGGACTTTTAAGTCTCCACAAAGTAGCCAACCATGTTCTTTGTATTTGACCTTATAAAGAAGAAGTTCGGGATTTTCATATGTTTCCTTTAAGTGAACCGAATGAAAAATAGGAGCAGATGAAACATGTTACCATTGTGAAGGAGAAAACCTTTTAGATTTCTTTGGAGGAATCAATGAACAATCGCCATCTGCGGGTCGCGGGTTCGAATCCCCATCACACCAAACATGCTCGCCCTTTCAGCCGTGGGGACAATATAATGTGACGGTCAATCCCACTATTTGGTGGTAAAAGAGTAGCTTAAGAGTTGGCGGTGGGTGGTGATGACTAGCTGCTTTCCCTCTAGTCTTCCACTGCTAAATTAGGGACGGCTAGCACAGATAGCCCTCGTGTAGCTTTGCGCGAAATTTAAAAAACAAACAAACAGACACGACTGTTACACAGTGTCAGTGTAACACACAACTGTTATATATAGGTGCAGCGTCCAACGACTTGATCGACATGTCCTCGTATGGAGTAGCACGAATATCCTTTCATTCTCCACCTGTTTGGGGTATGCAACGAATGAATGCCGTCAATATGCCCCAAACAAACATTCCTAACATAATCGAAAAGGATCTGTCTATAAGAGCGACGCAAGTCACGTGTATACATGTTGTTTCAACGATATATCCAGAAAAATAAAACCAACTGTAGAAACCTGTACCTAACTGGGAAAAAAATGGAAGCAGATACTGACGCCCATGAAAGTTATGTGTACTTTGATAACTCTAACAAGTCTCGTACCATTTTCTACGGATCAGTGGGTGAAACAATATTTCCAAAAGTGGTACGTTGCATGTCGAATAACCTTTTTTGAAGGAATTCATGATCATCACCAGGGGAAAGTTAGGATTGATAAAAAGAACAAAGTGTACTCTGCTTACTATCAAACCAACATTTTGGACCCTTTTCTCACAGAAGAATACTTGCCTTTTTTTTTTACGGAAACGAGGCCAACAGGATATAGGTTCACCAAGTCAGATTTCCAGTCATACTTCACCAAGTCAGATTTCCAGTCATACTTCTTCCTTAACTGTCACATACTTCAAGTTGCTGGAGAATTAAAGGAGTATCCATGCTATTCATTACGAAAATATAACGGGCGAGTTACCGAACCCTGCGCCTATCTATTGATTTCTGAATGATCGTACAGTTGAAACAGGTACTGGGAAACCATCGTTCTCGTAAACTAGATAGATTATGGAAAACCAACAGGGAGGAGTGGTGTGCTTTGGACATGACAGTGTCACAATGGAATTTTTTGCAATGAAAAGTAATCTGCAGGGTTATTGTCAAGATGCGCGAACGTCGGGTAGAGCATAACCACACGTGGCGACATGGACTGTAACGATGTGGTTAGTTTCCAAAGTCATTGTAGTATAACGCATGCAGCCTCGTTAGTTATCAAACTTGATTGAAGTACTATAATGCACTCTGGTGAAATTCCGTTCACATTTACCCTAACTATATAGTTGTTTTGTTTTTTTGTAGTTGCCCATAACTACGTAAAATGCGTGAAATATCTTAGCTACCTATACGTTTCTATATGAATTGTTTATTATAATAGCTTTCATCCTTGTAACGTTCTTTTTTATTTCTAGTTTAAGAAATACAGAATATAATCGTAGTTGCAGGATTCTTTATAGTCTAGCAAGACAGCTTCTGTTACACATAACAGATCATACTAATATTGTGTATGTTACAGTGTCTTTCCTACTGGGGTATACAATGTGCCTATTTTTCCTCTACGTCACTCTGCCGATCGTGATAAAGAACGCCAGTGCCACTGCAGCCAATCTGTCCCTTCTCACAGCTGATTTTTATAGTCTTCTAATAGGAATTTACATCTTTAACAATCAGGTAAGTTATTTCATAAGGTTACTAAAATAAAGATCCAGAAGCATTTGTAATGTGTCAAGTGAGTTACGGGTTATTATTAGTTTAGTACACGCAATATAAGGGCTATTTGTATTATTTAAGGATTTTTGACGTAAACATATGTATTATCATCGATGTATAACATGATATGTTCTGCACTTGAAAAAATTTTTACATCTTATCCAGAATTATAACATTATAGAAACGAATGATGTACTTTTGTTATCAGAAACAAAATAAAATATTTTATATTAAATATCACTGAAAATGATTTATTGTGGAACATCAGACTTCTATGTACTGCACCTAGTTTAGCCTTTAAGAGGATTAACAGGAGTTCAAAGTTACCCTCGTGATTCACAGAGGTCTCGATATACCAATCAATCTGATCCATTAATCCAGTGACTTCTATAGCTATCCCAAGGGGATCCACACCCTAACAAAAACTCCGTTTCGACACCCGCTCGTGGTATCTGAGTACGTACGACTTCTTTGGTCCTTCAAGCTTATAAGTTGGGGTATGGACAAAGTTTCAAAAATGCAACCTTGAGATCCCGAAGAAGGACAGGAACACAAAATTCGATGCTGTGTTCCAGTTCAGCGACTCTGCAAACCTATTCCAAGGAGTCTATCAAATCTAATTAACTTTCCAAAGGCCTTTTAGCTCTCCTCTTGGTACCTCTTTGGTAGATGGTTACGACATATAAAGATATACCGAGTCCTCCTACAAAGTTTAGTCCTGCTTGCTTCAAAACTGTGGAAGAGGTTCGCAGACAAACAAGCAAGTTCACAAACATACAACGTGAATTAATATAGGATTTCATTTTTTAATGGTGATATTAGTTTCTTTAACTAATGAAAACTTGCTTTACGATTTGGTGTTCTACAGTTTGTCCTGCTTATTCTAGTTTATTTTCATCATAATACAAATGCTGGAAAAACTGCTAATGTAAAGGTATATATTTTTTGATAATTAGATCTCATATGTGAAGAGAAAAATCGACTTGTTTACCTTACTTACTGACTATGGTAGTCATAAAACTTAGTATTTTGCGGTCGATAGATCTTTATTCAATTAATTAGACGTGCAATTTGACTAATTATTGACGTCAAATTGCATACCAAGATCTGCCCTTGACGAAAGCCTGACAGATCTGGTGAAAGTTTACAGGTAAAAATGAACTTCCTGTCCATAATGGGCGTTCTTTTTCAAGCTCTCGTAATGCACTTTAAAAGCCTTATCTTAAAAGTTTTGCAGGTTATTTTAAATATATTATACTCCTCAGTTATTTTTCTCTTTGAAACGCAAAAAATACCCTCCAATTTTCTAAAAATTATCAAAATCTCTCCGAAGATCTTCCCGTAACATTCATTCTCCAAGAAAAGTGTTGTAAGACAGAAGAAGCCTATCTCTAGTGAGTCGAGAAACTTGGCAGAAATGGCAAAGCAGTTTCGTCACTCCTTGTTCAAAGCAGCCTGTTTTACACTAGAGAGGTGTTCAAGATTTCTACTGTCTCAATTTGCTACATTCAATGCATTGAATTTAATAATAACCTTGAATTTTTATTCCCTGGAAAACTATAGTCCACATTAAGAAGTAAGAAATATCCTAAAAATATTTTAATTATGAAATACTTATCTAACTCAACCTTAAGCACTTATTCTAAGATTAGTATAAACCGGAAGTTAAATGATGTGATTCAGAAAAGAGTGAGAACCTAAACACTAACAATATCTTTATTCTCCACATATTATTCTAAGATTAGTGTAAACCGGAAGTTAAATGATGTGATTCAGAAAAGAGTGAGAACCTAAACACTAACAATATCTTTATTCTCCACATATTATTCTAAGATTAGTGTAAACTGGAAGTTAAATGATGTGATTCAGAAAAGAGTGAGAACCTAAACACTAACAATATCTTTATTCTCCACATATTAGCTAGATTTTGCTTATTATGGGAAACAAGCCAAAATGCTGAAAATTTTAGTTACGATCCCTGACTTGTAAATTTTGTTGAGGTGTGAGTTTTATTCAAACTCAACTACATATACCTGATCCCAATCACGGAATGCCGGATTTCGTAATCTTCTTGTTTTTGTGGCTTTCGGTGTGGCATATACAGATGATATAAATATAGTATGAAATTCATACATAAAGGTTATGATTTACTTGCCTCTTGGACATTTTCACGATGAACGAATGGATAAAAATTTAAGTTAAAATAGAGAGGCGGCTGCTTAACCAAAGAGCAGGTTTGAACTGAGATCGCATGTACTGCGTCGACCCCTCAAACGAAGCGGCTATGCTGGTATTTCATCTAAAATATTAATTAATTAATTTATTTATTAAAATATTTTTATTTACTTATTTGTACAGTAATTATAGTACAGTTTCAGTAATTTCAAGTCGAAAGTGTACATCAGTAACCAGAAAAAGTCTGCGTGTAAAGCATTTTTCACAGCTAATGGTATGTTCACCAGAATAGCCGGTTTCTGGTACATTCTGATACATCAGTAACCAGAAAAAGTTTGCGTGTAAAGCATTAATCCAAGCTAATGGTATGTTCACCAGAATAGCCGGTTTCTGGAACATTCCGATACATCAGTAACCAGAAAAAGTTTGCGTGTAAAGCATGAATCCAAGCTAATGGTATGTTCACCAGAATAGCCGGTTTCTGGAACATTCCGACCCGTATCTGGGACCCGTATTTGCAATAGCTACTGTAGTAACGATATAGGGGTTATTATATGAAATATTTTTATTTTTCAATATATGGGAAACTTTAATGCGAATTTGTTTTGCAGTTGGACTGCTAAGTTACTAGGAGATGCGTCCACGGACAGACAGAAAAATATCCTGCTGTAGCTTAATACGTGTGGCGCATATGTGAGAACGTCTCTACAACAATTTTTTCATATTCATCTGTTCAAAAACGAATATTATACGCTTCGTAAGAATGTTTTTAACCTTCTTTTTTCTTTTTTGTTCAATGGTCAAAACACTATTATCGATGACAACTGGTGGGTGTAGGTTATTTGATTCTACTCTTTGAATTTTCTTAGCTTATCCAATAAAAGAGGAAAATGTTATGAAACAAAAATACATTTAGGGAATCAAAAGATGGACATTCTTGTGGTCAAAGGACTCGACTCGCAATCTGCGCGTCATGGGTTCGAATCGTCGTCATAGAACATACAAACCCTTTCAGCCGTGGAGCGTTATAATGTGATGGTCAACACGTAAAAACAACAGAACACACAATTCTATGGTAAAAATCTACAATATTTGCTCAACCTTATAATGTGATGGTCAATCCCACTATTCGCTGGTAAAAGAGTAGCCCAAGAGTTAGCGGTGGGTGGTATTCACTAGCTGTCTTTCTTCTAGTCTATCACTACTAAATTAGAGAAGGCTAGCGCAGATTGTCCCGGTTAGCTTCGCGCCAAATTCGAAACAAACTAAACCAAAAGACGGACACCTTAACTTTAATTGCGGTTTTCACCAATTAAGAGGAACTTGCATAAAATACCTCACGCAATCCAGTGGCTCAGACTGAAGGCTTATAACGCTAAAAACCGGATTTAGATACCCATGGTGGGCACATCACAGATGTCCCATTGTGTACCTTTGCGTTGGACATCAACAACAACAAAAAAAAAAACTACCCGCACCCCACTCCACTACTGCGGGGTTCAAAACCTCCCTCGTGATTCGCATAAACTCCAGTGTACTGGTCAGGATCCACCTATAACTTCTATACCTATCCTACGGAGAGTCCATACTCAAACTAAAAAAACGCCATACCATTATTCGTCTTTGGTACCTGAGTATATCTGCCAAATTCGATCTTGCTAGCTTGTGAGTGAGGATATGAATAAAATTGGAACTCCAGGAATCTAGATATAGATATGAACACTCCCAGGAGGGTCCCGAGTCCACATCCTAAGTTTGATCCTGCTAGCTCCAAAACTGTGAGGGAAAATTGCAGACAAATAAATGAAATTCACATTCGCTCCCGTTGTCAGCGTGTTTATATACGGGGTCATGTAAACAACAATTGCATATAATTCACTGTAAATAAAAGTACGTCTCAACTGATAATATGCAGAGATGACCATGTTATATCTAAATTCTCCCTACATTATCTATGATTTTAGTTAAGTCTTTCACTACTTTATTAAAATAACGTTTGATCACTTTTAGTATCACTTTTTAGTATAACGTTTTTGATCACTTTTAGTCCAAAGGTATTAAAATTTCATCCATAAACATTTGCTATAATATTACCTTTTCAACAGAACGAGTTTATTAAAGTTCTATTGTTGATACGAAAGATCATGATATATAAGCTTCAGCTTTATTAACCGTGGTTTGCAGAGTATTTTAACCCCAATACCAATTATTCCTTTCATATTTTCTGTTTACAGTTAGAAAATTACATTCTAATTCAGTTATTTTCCTGGAAACGTTCATTTTATAAAAATTCCTGGCTGCATTTCAAAGCCCTGCTGTTTCCAGAAGAATAACTAAAAACACACTTTTTTCGCTAAACATTATTCCAGTCATTTCCTATCTAACTGCTTTCCCTAGTGGTTTGCTAACCAAATTAAAAAACTTCTTCCCGTAAAGGTTTACTAAGTCACGACAGCAACAGCTAGAATACATTGATTTATAGATGTGAAACTTTATAACTCCTTTTGACAAATAGTCCTTAGAATACGCTCTTAATGAGTTCGATAAACATCTATTGGCAAACAAACCTTCACCAAATGTACTTTGAACTAAAGACTGGATGCTCAAATACAAACTGGAAAAGTAATTGGGTTTCACAAAAGCAAAATTATTTAATCTAGTTAAGCAATGGTTTGTCTATGCGTGTCAGAGTTATCGAATTCAAGACACGCTGGAATAAAGCAACAGAAACAAAAGTTTGTTTAGTCGTTCCCAAGCTAATGCTATTTCGCTGATATAGTCTCGTG